CATCTAAAGCTCTTAGCATAGTGCCTATAAATGCTCAGTAAATGGTAACTATTGGTTAGTTAGAATAGACCCAACTTGCTGTTCTCTGCAAGCCGCCCTTTTAGCCTTTGATTCCTTCTTCAGTTTATTCTAAATATTACAGGTCCACAACCCTTTTCTGAAATTCTAAAATATGAATGCTCTGAAAACAGACTCTTATCATTTGGCCACAAACCCCAATCTTCTTAAAACTGTATAGGTACTCTTTATCCTGCTTTGTGGAATATCCATGTTTTCCTTTTAAACTTGAATGCATTTGAGTTAATGTGTTACCCCAGATCCTGCTTAGTGTGTTTTGTAAGATATGATACACCTAGCATATTTCTTTTTAAAACATGAAACATGCTGAGTTCCCAGACGTGTTTGGCTTGAAAGGTTTCAAATAAAAGATTGTACACGTGTGCCACCCAAAGTCAGCTTTCTAAAATACCATTTTCTCCAGGCAGGAGAATGGTGTCTTCAAATCAGAAAATCATAAGAACCCCTAGTGGTTTTCCAGTTTAGACTATTCCTTGTGGTTTTCAAGACTGCCTCTAATCCACCCTACATATTCAAAATTTAATCCCCTTGTACTTGAACCATTTGTTTCATATGTCTGTTCTCCTCAACTTCCCTGAAGTAAAATGTTAATGCTGCTCCTTTTGTCTGACTTCCCTCTTTCTCTCTTTGTGGCTCTTCAGATCCTCCCCAACAATTAGGCCATAATTCTTTGTAGTTTCTCAATGAAGCTATATTTTTCTATTTCTTCTCTGGATTCTTGTTGTACTTAAATGAATTTATTTACCAACATTCGAGCAGATATTATGTGCCAGCTACTGTTCTAAGTGTCAGAGATCTGAAAGTGAGTAAGACCGTTAAGGTCTCTACTGTTATGGAATATATTTTCTAGAGAGTAGAAGACAACCTATAATCCCAGCACTTTGGGAGGCTGAGGTGGATGGATCATGAGGTCAGGAGTTCGAGACCAGCCTGGCCAAGATGGTGAAACCCCATCTCTACTAAAAATACAAAAATTAGTCGGGCATGATGGCAGGTGCCAGTATCCCAGCTACTTAGGAGGCTGAGGCAGGGAATTGCTTGAACCCGGGAGTTGGAGGTTGCAGTGAGCTGAGATCGCGCCACTCCAGCCTGGGCGACAGGGAGACTCCGTCTCAAAAGAAAAAAAAAAAAAAAAAAAATAAAACAAGAGCACAAAGAAGTAAATAAGTGAACAATATCATTTCAGATAACAGTTAATGCTGTCAAGATAAGACAGGAGGGCTCACGCCTGTAATCCCAGCACTTTGAGGCAGGTGGATCATGAGGTCAGGAGATCGAGACCATCCTGGTTAACACGTGAAACCCTGTCTCTACTAAAAATGCAAAAATTAGCCGGGCGTGGTGGCGGGCGCCTGTAGTCACAGCTACTCGGGAGACTGAGGCAGAAGAATCACTTGAACCTGGGAGGCAGAGCTTGCAGTGAGCCGAGATTGCGCCACTGCACTGCAGCCTGGGCGGCAGAGCGAGACTCCATCTCAAAAAAAAAACTGTGAGGCAGAAATGCTTTAATTTTGTTTGCAGATCATTTAATCGTAACTTATACAATGATTTCGATACATGTTTAGTGTACAATGGCTAAAAATTACCCCTTATGAAATTCAGCCTTTTCATATCTGCTTAAAAATTTTCCTTCTTGATAGACCATATTTGTTCTTTTTTCTTACCAGTTATAACGAAGAGCTTTAAATAGTGTTATTATATTTATGAAAGCAGATTTTTACGAGGGAAATCTGAGAAAATATTCGTATTAAATGTATGTGGTTATACAGGATATCCACTCTAATTGAATGAAATTTACAAATCAAGAAATCAGGAGCGGGGTGTTTTTCTTTATGTTTCTCTATCACAAGTAGTTAGGATAATTTTTTACATAAGTATAATTTCCTATGTGCCTTGGGGTACTCTATCATTCTTGTTGCCTGTTAGGAAAAAAAAAAATTCTTTAAGAATAAAACAAAGCATACTCCTTCTCCAGTATTATTTTTGACCAGGAGTCCACATTTGGTTTATTAACAACTAAACTTTCAATTCAAGAGCAGATTTAGAATTAGAAATGGTATATAGCAAAATGGACATTCCCAATCAAAGGGAACAGTAGAGGCACAAACAGGACATCATGGGAGTATGCATTGGGAAGAGGATTTTAATTTTTGTTTTCTGTAGAATAGGGGTCATAAGGGAAGAAGTAGAAGGTAGCTTAGGGCTGAAACATACAGGCCTTTGAATTCCATATTAACGATATTCATCTTTATAGGTCATCAGGAGGCATTGAGTATTTATGAACAGGAGGGAGTATGATAGTCATTCATACTCTTTATTGAGCCTCAATGTGCCAAACACTGCTTTAGGCATTAGGGTTACATCCCTAAACCAGATGGGCAAAAATCCCTGTCCTTGTGGAGCTTATATTTTTTGTTGGAAAAACAGACCAAGATAATGATAATGAAGTAAATTATAGACTATGTTAGAATGTGCTAAATCTCGTTCAGGAGTGCCAGGAATGTGTGGAGGGAGGCAGACGTTTCCATTTGAAATAGGATGGCCTGGGTAGGCCTCACTGAGCAAAACCTTGAAAGCAAGATGAGGGAGTAAGCCATATGGACCATGGAAAAAGAGCATTCCAGGCAGAGAGAAGAGCCAGTGCATGTGGCTTATTGCCTCATTGGGGAGCTGTGAGGTAGTCAGTGTGACTGGAGCTGGGGGAATGAAGGGAGAGTAGTAGGAGATGAGGTCAGAGGGATATGGAGAGTGTACAAATCAGTAGGGCCTTGTAGGTCATTGTAATGACTTTGACTTGCACTAGGAGGGAATATAGCCCTTGGAAAGTGTTGAGCCAAGGAGTGACATGATGTGACTTCAGTTTTCACAGTGTCACTTTGTCAACTGTGTTCAAAATTAACTGTAGGAGAGCAAAGGTGGAAGCAAGGAGATAGATTAGGAAGTCACTACAGAAATTTAGTTAAGAGCTGATGGTGGCTTGAACCACATCTTTGCAGACTGCAGAATGATTATCATGGGTCTGGATAGCTGCTTGGCTATTGGAAATGAAGGAGAGGAAGAACATGATGTTGAAATCTTAAACCTTGACTAGATTATCTCAAATTCCATCTAACTCGAATAGTTTCTACCTCTATACTCTGTGGTTTACTATAGACAAAAAGTATGTTAATTCCAAAGAAGAGTACTGAGGGGAAGAGAAGACTTCTGTCTCATCCCATAGGACCAAGTGAAAATATTGCTAGCAATGCTTTTTTTCTTGTGTCTGTCTCCCATAATTAAACTGTCAACATGTATTCAACTGAGATACAGATTTGAAACATTTTAGACATATGTATACCTTAACTTAGATAATTTGACTAAAGCAAAAAGTATTTTCCCTTTATTTACATTCTTGCTTTGGAGATATAGATGGGTTTCCAGCCTGGAGTTTATAACCCCAAAAGATGGGAAGAGAAGGAAAGCAGTAGTTGCATGAAGAACTGTATAATCTGTCTCAAAAACCCAGGTGGACAAGCACACATAGGGATGGTAGCCGGGTTAGTTGAGGTACTTTTGATACTTTATCATTTTCTCTCTGATTTGGTATTGCAGGAAATCATGAAATTGGCCATTGTGTTTAAAACAGTTTTCTACAACCCACTAGAAAAATTAAGGAGAAAATACCTGGTAAGAGAGTTGCAGGGTGAATTTATCCTTCTTAAAGTGGTTTCAGTTCTGATATAAATAATTCCCACTTTTTTCCTAGGCAGTAAAGATTGATTGGGGTTTGTGTCAGTGGATGTGATGAAGACATAGTACAGAGATTAGAAGTTTAGATCCCTGAGGGAATCAGTGGATTAAAAGTAGAAAAAAAAAAAAGAGTTATACATAGAATAGTATATTTGCCCCAGCTGATGTGGGGAGGATGGTCTTTAACAGCATTGGGTTAGTGGTATTTGAAGACAGTTTTCTGAGATCCAAGCAATTTTCATTTACTTAAAACTCATAATGGAATCCTTCCAACAGTGAGAAGACCCTATGTTTTTTAGTCTGCATGACCAAGTTGATACACATTTTTCAGCTTCTGTTGTAAGAAATAAATGTATAGGATCTGGCAGAACATTAAATTCAATTTCTAACAGACAATTAAAAAAAATCTGGTTCTTTCCTAATCACACCCCAATTGGCACCTCAACATATTTATAATAAAAACTATATTTCATGCTCATCATACATTATTGTAAGTTCTTGAACTATTCCGTGAATTCTGGAAGATAACTACATTGTTAGGTATTGCTTTAGTATTGCTGTACTCAAATTCTTCAAATAACGTTGCTCATATATATTCAATTTTATGTTCAAATAAGTTCAATTTTATTTAGAATATTTTGAAAATATTTCTAATTTATTTATAAGGATAGTTTTTTAAAAAGTTCAATTTTATTTAGCATATTTATAAAAGTGTCCTTTAAATATCCATCAGGAGTAACACAGTTCTTAGGCCAAGCTGTTTCATTATATTTCATTCTTGTTAAATGTGACATTTTTCCTATTGTATATGTTGTTGTTTTTTAAATTTAAGTATCTTAACTTGAGGATTCATTTCCAAACTTCTATATAACATGCAAGGGCTTATGATTTTGTGGTATCTTTTCTGACATTTCAGCACTGTGGTAGTGACGTCTGATCTGGATCTGATTTGGGACCTTGGGAGCCATATTTGAAAACAAATATAGACACCTTTGCCAAACCTTCATTTTGAATCATTAAAAAGTTTTTTTCTTTAAAGAATATATTGTTTATATGTTTGAACTTTCTGATTCTTTTTGACTGTTTACCGTTAATAAAAATGAAAATTATTAAATTATTTTATTGTTTGATTTATGAATTTCTCTTATCTGATTGGTTTTTTTTGTTTGTTTGTTTCTTTTTGGTTTTAATAGAACATTCAAATAAAAACTTTGGCAGATGATGTGGTAAGGTGGTCTTAGCATGCTATTACATTACTTATGCATGTTGCCTTTTTATTAAAATGGGTGGACATAAAAGCATTGATATATGTAAGATATGAAATGTCTGGATATTTATAAAGTATAGTAGAATGGAGTAATTGTCAATTCCGTGACTTCCTTTTCGAATATTAACATAAACAATTATATGAGATCCCAACAGAATTTTCATATCATCATCCTGATATTTACCTTAACCAAAAGTTTTCTAAAATCTCCATGTGAATCTAAACTCTGGAAAACACAGATGCTTCCTTTTTTGATGGCCAAATAAATTGTGAATATATTAAACATTAATATTAGAGGAAATTAATTTCCATTAGAAAGGAAATTAAGTTCACTATGTTGGTCAGATGTGTGCTACTAAATTTAAAAACCAATATTTTAAAGCTGAATTTGTCATAGTATATCTTATTAAAAATTATGGGCTCAAAATGTAAATATACCCTTTTATAGCTAAACTGTAAAAAATGGTATTTTAAGCATTGACAATTTTTTTTTGCTATGTGAAATTACCTATTTACAAATAATGTAAAGTAGTGATAGTGCTCAAAGGAGATGAAGGTATGTGGCTTAACTACATTTTCTTTTTTTTTTTTTTTTGAGACGGAGTCTCGCCCCGTCGCCCAGGCTGGAGTGCAGTGACGCGATCTTGGCTCACTGCAACCTCCACCTCCCTGGTTCAAGCAATTCCCCTGCCTCACCCTCCCAAGTAGCTGGGATTACAGGTGCCCGCCACCAAGCCCGGCAAATTTGTATTTTTAGTAGAGACAAGGTTTCACCATCTTAGCCAGACTGGTCTCAAACTCCTGACCTCATGATCCACCCACCTCAGCTTCCCAAAGTGCTGGGATTACAGGCGTGAGCCACTGCGCCTGGCCAACTACATTTTCTTACCAAGGTATAGCTGAAATCAAAAGCTAATTTTCTAGAAAAAGTGAAAGACACAGTGGAAGATCAAATATATATGTTATTAATGCTACTCAGTAAAAAGGCTAGTACTGGAAAAGTAAATATTAAGTGATATGAAGGGAAAGAGAAGAGACATGTTGATTTAATGGTCAGTTGCATATTTAAATGCTTTCATGTCCACCATATTTTTAATGAAATTTGACTGTTGAATATATCCTCAGCTTATTTTGGATTACTTAACTTTTTTCTTGAGTTGTTTGAAGATACACTATATAACTAAACCAACAATTTCCCTCAAAAAGTTAAAAGAAAATGTGAAAATGTAGTTCAAGATGATTAGAAGAAATGAATCTTAAGTTAATGTGAAGACTGGGATAGGAACCAGAGACTGGTGGATTTAGGAAAGTCACCTTCTCTGGGAAATGAGGGGATTGGTTTAGATTATTTTTCAAGTTTCTTCTCAGCTCTAAAATACTATGATTTATATAATCTCTTTGTCAGCAACCATATACTCAAATTACTTTGTAATCCTAAATAAGCTGCTTAAAACTGCTCACATTTCTTTCAAAGTATACTTTTTGGTTTTAAAAAAGTGTTCTTTGAATTAATAAAGTAAAAAGTATGCTCATTAATGAGTTCACATAATTTTACATAAGCTATGGTAATAACTTCTGTGATGTTCTTTGTATTGTTGAAGTAATTATATAAGGATTCTGGTAACATGGTGGTGAAGATATACTGTCCTGATATTTAACATGTCTGCTTGTTTAATGTGAACTTGATGGTGTGCATGTGCTTCCTAACAGAAACCATAATAAAACTGAGTTGCATTCAGTTTTATGCATATTACTAACTTTTGATGTCCCATGTTTTGTGGTTTAAAATAGAATATCCTAATTACATGCAACTGAAGTCATTAACTCACTTTATGTGAAATAGCAAGCTAATTAATTAGAGATTTTACATGGAATCAATGGTTCGAAGTCAATATCCATAAAATAGCAAGTTTTTCATAATATTTGTAGGAATAAGAAATTTCTGTTTATTATATTTCCAGTAAATGGAAAAGGTGATGTTTTTATCTTTGTTTTACTTCCTCATTGGTCCAACATTTTAGGGAAGAAAACACTGGGGGAAAATAATAATAGTAACAACAATAATAAATAGCAGTTAAGTGCAATAAACATATTAACTTATTTAAATTTCACAATAACCCTACTGTGTAAGTAATATCATTATCCCTATTTCAGAGATGAGGAAACAGAGAGACCAAGTAACTTTCACAGGGTTACTCAGGCAGTAAATGGCAGAGCTTGGACTGAAACCCAGGTAATCTGTCTTGAGTCCATGCTCTTAACCATTCTACTGCTACACTGACAGATTATTCATATATACTTGTCACAATTTTTGCAGCTTTGAAGGAGAAAAACATTACCATAATTTTCTCTTAGAATTGGATATCAGTAGCTCTTTTTAGTTTCTTTCTCTTTTTTCATAGTTCTAAATTTGCCACCAAAGACATTCTCCCTGAAACAACCAACAGGACTTTGATCCGAGACTTTTTTTTTTCACTTATTTGCTGTGCAAAACAGAAATGACAAGGGACTAAGTTTTACTTTTGAAGAATGCTTTTCACCCCCAGAGTTCTGAGGCTGAAGAGCTACTTCAGGGTTTCAAAATAGTACAATCTCTAAGTGGAGCTTGCTGCTTAAAATAGTATTTTGTCAAAAGACCATAATGATATGTATTATACTAAGTACCGTTTTGATGTTTCAATTCTTCATGTTAGTAGTTCTTGATCTTTTTCTCAGGGCTTTTTATTTATTTATTTTTGTTTGCAGCGTGACCGAATTACAAGTTTTAGAAAATCTACTGTCAAAAAAGAAAAACCTCTTATTCAACATCCTATTGATTCTCAAGTCGCGATGAGTGAGTTTCCCGCAGCTCAGCCATTATATGATGAACGATCTTTGAATTTGTCAGAAAAGGAAGTATTGGATCTCTTTGAAAAAATGATGGTAAGTTATACCCCTAATTTTGATGTAATTTTAAAATGTGTGTGCCCGGAATAGCACTGAGTTTTAAGGAGGTGTGTTTGTATGGACAGTGTTTATATCACATAAAGAAGAGACCGGAAACTTGATATAACAAAACTATTAGCAAAAGTATCCTTTTCATTTTTCTTTTCTCTTGGCAAAAATGTCCTTACCTGTCTGTCTCTTCCACTGTGAGCTCCTAAAAGTAGAGGCGGTTTTATTTATCTTTGTTTTCTACTGTTTATTAGTCTCCAGGACATCGAGTCAGTTTTTCAACTAACTGATTTGTGTGTCTGTTTCTACAAAGCAAAAGAGGCCTATGTCCTCTGCTGAAAACAGCACAAGGTCTCTTGTTGGGTATATGAAACAGACTTGGGAGGGTAGAGAGTAACAATAGAAGGGACAAAGAAATTAATTCATCCAAGTTTGTTCTATTAGCAACATTCACACAACCTATGTTTTCTAGCATGTTTCCTGTGTTTTATAGCTTGTGGCCTAAATAATTTCCTGTATTAGATAATGAATACAATATTTTGAGTATTCAGAAGTTTATGGCAGGAGAGGGGAGAAATGAGGAATTAAACCATATTACGTTGGTTAATTTGACCAGAGAAGAACTAGAGATCTTGATTGGTGATTCATTCATTCAAAATTATATCCCACATGTTACTGTACATTTTTTGTGGTTGTCTATTTATCTGTACTTAAGAGTCCACAGGAGTTTCAAAGGTCACCTTACACCAAAATAAAAGGTTAAGAATCAATGAAATCTAGACCCTACTGTGCCCACTACGGAACATCTTATCATCACCTCTCCTGCTACCCTCATGATTTATCTCCCACACCTAGAAGAGTTAGTAGGCCTTTAATAAATATTTGTTGGTAGGCCTTTAATAAATATTTGTTGGTAGTTGTTGAATGAATCCAAACAAAATTTCCCTTTATCTTTAAAATTTTCCTTGACTATTCCTTCCATCTAGCCACAACTGGCATTTTGGGTATTCCCCTGAAACAAGTCCTGACACTTTTACCCTTTTTCACTCTTCTTTCTGCTTCTGTGGTGCACCCTTTTTCCTGGGGCTCCTTTCATGCTCTCTTCTTTAAACCGTCTTTCAACAAACAACCTTTTCTCTTTTGAAGTCTGTTATTGCTGACCTTTCTTGATGATAGCACCTGGCTATACGTTTGTCCTTTACCCTTGCTACTTATTTTGGTGATTTCAACTATTATGCTAATAGCCCCTTCAATACGTTTTTTGCTCTTAGTTCCTTGTTTTTTAAACTCTGACTTTTGCATTTATATATTTAGCTAATTATAGGTATGACTATACCTTGGACTGTGTCATCCTTTAGAATAATTCCACCTCTAAGATCTTTAACTCTGAAGTTTTCCTTAGAAGCTAAACAATTTACACTACCTTTCCAAGACCCTTAATTTTACAGAGCATGTATTGTGTAGTGGTTAAAAACCTGGACTTTGGGGTCATTCAGAATGTTTGTAGCATTCCTTTCCTTTATCAAATAAGCTCTGTTGTGTCTTTAATTGCTAGTATTTTCTGATTACCTAGATACCCCTCAGTTTATCACCCTGGTGTCCTTAATCACTGAAAACAATGATGACAGCAACAAACACAGAAACATTCCTTGATACTATTAACACTTTTTATCTTTTCAAATCTTTCTTCTCTATAGGTAAAAATTATACTCATTGCTTTAAGCTGCTGACAATTTGGTTACTACTTTTGCAGTATTGAAATAGTTCTCCGAGTTCATCAGTGGCATTGCCATATTCAGTTTTTTTACACTCAACATTACAGGGCCATCTTCCCTTCATTGATTATCTCATTCACTTCTAATTTCTTGCCAAATCCCATTGGTTTTGCTTTTGTAATAACTGTTACATTTGTGTCCTCAGGTGTCCTCCAGCTGTTCTTGCCCTACTTTAGATGATAACCCTCTCTAGTAGTTTCTTGTGGCTACTAAAATAGCTTCCTAACTGGTGTTCCTCCCATTCTCCAGGTTTTGCCTATTCCAATCCGGTACTACCCTATGATTTGGACACAGAGTTCTTTTCTGAAGCCCCAGGTGGGCCTTTATGTTTTCAGAGAATCAGTTTATATGTCCCTACTCCGTTCCCTCAACTACGCTCCTAGATGCCTTTCACACCTTTGCTTTGCTGCCCCAACCTCAGAGCTCTTCCCCATCTTTATTCTCTGCTGATGACCTTGCTGCTTAATTTACGGAGTACATTGAAGCATTCAGAAGAGAACTTCCACAGGTTCCCACCACTACATTTACCTTTTAGTATCTGCATTCATGTATCTGTCTTGCTACCTATCACCATAGGTGAAATTTTCATGTGTGCATTCTTCTACTTGTGTATACATTTTCATTCCTTCACCTACTCACAGATATTGCTCCAATAATTTTTTCTTCTCTCTCTACCATTCTGAGCAGCATATAAACATGCGGTCCCATTTTTAAAAAACTTTCTTTTGATCCTTTCTCTATTGTTAGCTATCACTCCACTTATTTACTCTCCTTTGAAGCAAAGCACCTCACAATAATTTTATTTATACGCACTGCTTCCAGTTTTAATCCTCTCACTTTCTCTTCTAAACTCACTCCAACCAGGTTTCCATCCCACCATTCTATCAAAACTGCTCTTATCAATGTCACCAGATATCTTCATGCTGCCAAATCCCGTGGTCAATGCTCAGTTCTCATTTTAATTTTTTTTTTTTTTTTTTTGAGACAGGATCTCACTCTGTCACCCAGGCTGGAGTTGCAGCAGTGGCATGATCATGGCTCACTGCAGCCTCAATCTCCTGGGCTCAGGTGATCCTCCCACCTTAGCCTCCCCAGTAACTGGGACTACAGGCATGCATTGCACCACCATACCCAGCTAATCGTTTTGTATTTTTTGGTAGAGACAGGGTCTTGCTACATTGTCCAGGCTGGTCTTGGACTCCTGAGCTCATGTGATCTGCCTGCCTTGGCCTCCCAAAGTACTGGGATTACAAGTGAGCCACCATGCCCAGCCTCTCATTGTAATTGACCTATCAGCAGCATTCTATGCAGTTGATTATTCTCTCCAATCTGAAACACTTTTTATTTTTGTCTCCTCAACATTCATCTTGTTTTCCTCCTACCTCTCAGGCCACTCCTTTTCAGTCTTCTTTGCTCATTCCTCTTTATGTCCTGAACCTCTAAATCAAATCACACAAGCATGTGAGGTAATGCACATATTAATTAGCTAGATTTAGTCATTCCACAATGAGTATATACTTCAAAACATCATGCTGTACATGCTAAATACATACAATTTTATCTGTCAATCAAAAATCTTATTTATAAATGGACATATTTTTAAGTAACAGTATAATATAATAGGATATCAGAGAAATATGGTTTGATTAAAAGTAACAACCAAAAGTTAAACTGAAAACTTTAAAGATTATATCTCTACTTTGAGAGAAGTCTACTTATACTCTGAATATTATGTATTTTCTATATTATCTTAGTTTGACTGTAATAACCTTACAGTGAACAAATTATTTTATGAATAACTATAGTTTTCATCTACTGTATACTTATGCCTAAGGCATGAAACTAAAACATTTAAATGTATTGTTTCAGTTGATCCTTAGGACAGTACCACAAAGTAGGTAAGATTGTTATATCCCATTTTCAGATAAGGAAAGTGAAGCTTAGAGAGAGGTAAGAAAATTGATTCATTAACTTGACTAAGCTAGTAAGTAGCTGAGCTGAAACTTAAATTTAGGTACATAAAAATATAAAACATTGACATTTTTGTAACATCTACCTTTAATAATGCTTCATTTAGGCTAAATATAAAATTAGTACATTTTCCTTGCACACATATTGAGGAGAAGTAGAAGGCAAATCAGAGGTACATTAGAGTGGTAGGTAAAGCCAGCCTGGGATGGATTATTTCCTACTGATACTGGAACATTGTCTGTAATTGCTTTTTACAGAGCATCAGTTGAGAAGAATGAGTCCAAATATCTAGCAATGGAAAACAGTTAAAAATGTCATTATCACAGTTGATTGGGAGAAAGCACTTAAGTCATTCTGTTTCTAAAACATGGAAGTAGACTTCCAGATACAAAATTTCTCCTTTTATATTTCACTCCTTGTTGGTGTCTTTCCTTGTACAAATAATGTAAAAGGTGTTCTTGTCATATTTGGTGTCTCTTATGACAATCTTCCTTCTCCTGGGTCTTTTGATGGTACCTTTATTGTGCTGTTTCTCTTGATTGGCTTTTCTAGACTTTAGAGAACTATGAAGGTTTAGAATATCTGTTTTCAATACTATATATGTATTTTAGGATAACATACCTTGAGGTGTAAAAGGTTTTTTGGTTTTTTTTGAGACAGACTTTTGCTTTTGTTGCCCAGGCTGGAGTGCAATGGCGCGATCTCGGTTCACTGCAACCTCCGCCTCCTGAGTTCAAGCGATTCTCCTGCCTCAGCCTTGCAAGTAGCTGGGATTACAGATAGGCACCACCATGCCTGGCTAATTTTGGATTTTTAGTAGAGATGGGGTTTCTCCATGTTGGTCAGGCTGATCTTGAACTCCCGACCTCAAGTGATCTGCCTGCCTCAGCCTCCCAAAGTGCTGGGATTACAGGCTTGAGCCACCGTGCCTGGCCAAAACGTTTTAAATAATTGCAGCAAATAGCACGACATTATACACAGTAATAATATATGAGATGCTTGACAAGAAATAAATTACCTTATAATTTACTATTTAGAGTTTCTGGGTAATGATGTATTGGTGAAACTTTTGGTTAAAAACTTAACAAAAGACAATATTCAAATATAATCCTTTCTTACTCTGAAAATTGAAACTCTTGTTATGCCTGAGGATCATATCTATCAACAGCAGTTCTCATTGGATGGGCTTCTAGATATAGATAATTGAACTAAATCTAAAATTACTGCAGGACATGTTTTTTT